AAACCTAAGGATAGCCTATCTTATTCTCTCTAATAAAATATATATTTTATTTATAAACTATTGTCTGCCTGAACTGCTACAGACAGAAGAGTATAGTTTTTAGTTGTAGTAGAAATTATACTTATCTATTAAACACTGCTATAAACCTGTGAAGGATCTCTGTAGCTGTGTCATTGTTATAGTACTACTATTAAGAAGACCACGGTACTGTAACATTACTAAAATTAAAAAATCAAATAAATAAATTAATAAAGTAAAATAAAAACGAATAAAAAATAAAAACAAAACAAATATAAATAAATCAAAAAAATAAATTATTAAAATAATAAATTAAAAAAATAAATTATATGGCAATTTAAATTATAATAAATTAAAAAATAAAAAAGAAAAATGCTAAAAAAGAAATCTAAAAAAATAAAAACCAAAAAAATACAAAAGAACAATAAAAGTAATAATTTAAAAAAAAATAAAAAAAGCAAAAATTAAAAAAAAATAAATAAATAAAACCAATAAATAAAAATAAATAAATAAAAAAAAGTATTAAAAAAAATTTAAAAAAAATCGAAAAAAAATAAATAATAAAAAAATTTAAAAAAAAACTAGTTCGAATCTTAATATACAAGTTTATATATGTGAGAATTTTTCAAAAATAAAACTCAATAATAAGCTATCTCTGCTATCTATATCATGAATAAATCTTTAAAAATCTGTATAACCCAAAAATAGACTATTCTTGATTTTTTAACCTTAAAATTGTTCAAAAAAAGGTAGCTTATTTTCAGAAATATACAATAATTCTATTTATTCATATAAACAGATAAACAATACTGACTATTTTAGAAAATTATATATTAATTTTTTGGAGAGAATAAGCTGAAATACCTACTTTTTAACAAAATTTTCTTGAAAAAGTAATAAACCAATGAAGCTTTTTTGTAGTTGTTCTTTGTAAGTTTTATAGTTATATAAATATATCCAAAGGTTAAAATACTTTTGATATCAATATAGTTATTCTATGTTCCAAAATACTCTTTTGGTTTGGATACTGAATATAATAGAGGAGTTTATCAATCAAAGCTTAACTTTTACAAAAACTAGTCCAAAGTAGACTGCTTCTTGGTTTTACACTCTTGATACTTTATCAACAACATATTTACTTTTGTAGAACTAAGTTTATTATTTACTTTTGTATCTTTTATAGTATTTTTTTATAGTTTAATTTTTCTTGAATTTGTTGACCAGATGATCATTAAAAAGAGTTTTGTGAAAATATGATGAATAAAGATAGTAAGAATATATGAAGTTTATAATTTATTATACTTTAAAATAAAATATAGATTTAAAGTTAAAGTAATAAAAAAAATATAAGATATATAGTTTATTAACAAAATATATAATTTTTATACTTTTGTACTAGCTAAAATATAATTAATTTAGAAGCGATTACTAAGAATATTTGTAATTAAACTGCAAGTCAAGACCTCAGCTGTGGCATATTGGAAAGAATTTGGTGATCACTAACAAGGTTAGCAGCTTCCAACTAAAAATTGGAAGAATTAAATCCTTAGTAAGTTGAGTTTTTATTAGTACAGGAATATAGTATAGAAAATTTATATTTAATGTAAATATAAGTTCTAGTACTTCTAATTTAAATAATAAAAGCAGGATTGCTAAAAAAAAAAAAAACAATTAATTTAATTATTATATTAAAATACTATGATCATATAGGATATATTCTGGTTAACAAGCATTAATTTGTTAGATAGATTCTTTAGTTTTATATTTGTATTTTTAAACTTTTCTATTGTTAGTTTATTTGTTTTCTTATTTGTTTGTTTTGAAATATTCTTTTTATATTTTCTCTTACTCTACTTTGCTTTTTATAATTTTTTGTTAGAGAATATTTCTTTAGATTGGTGATACTTTATATAGAGCAGTGATCCTGACAAGGCTGGTGACCACCTACTATAGCTTCTGGGATTTAATTCCTTAATAAGTTAAGGATCCCAGATAAGGAAACTGGGCCACTTAGGCAGATCACACCTGGGTTCTCTTTGCAGAATCTAGTTTTAGATTCTTGTTTTAACAGCAGAGTGATTCTTTATTAGTACAGACTTATATAAAACATGTTTTGTAGACTAGCCTCTATTTGTATGCCTATGCCGATTTAAATAATAAAAGAATCACTGAATCACAAAAAAAATATATATATATTTGGTTCAAATCTTATTAAGTAAAAGTAAACTCTTTTAGTATTACACGATACATGCACTGTCACGTGTAGAATAGCCTGTATAAAAAATCAAAGTAATATTTAGAGATCTTCTGACACAACGATCCCAATCAGTGCAATCACTTGATCGGCCTTATAACTTTCGAATTATGACATTGAAAAATATGAAATTAAAGGTAATAATGATTTTTGGGATTATATTTCTACTAATCTTAATATTAAAAACATTTCGCCATATTGTATGCTGTAAATTATTTATATTTTTAAACGCCCATGTATATGAAACTTGGAATGTAAACTGAAAATGATTGTAATAAATAAAATCTTAAACCCGGTTTATTAATGTTTCACAACAAATTAAACTTTTTATTTACTTTAAACCCGATTGCTATTAAAATAGGTTACTATTAAAATCGAGTAAGCAAACCGATTATCTACCTAACAATAGTCATAACCCGATTGGTAGATATATGAGTGTCGCTAAAAGAAAACCCGAAAATTTAAATATGACTTATATTTAAATTTTCGGGTTTTCTTTTAGCGACACTCATATATAAGTTAATCGGAGCAATGCGATGGGTTACATACTAGTTTAGATATTAAAATGTTGAATTTAAACCAGATTGTAAGTTTTTTTTTATATTTAAATATAAAACATTGTTTCGTAACTTTTCTTATAGTGACTTAATATTAATTCTTCCAAAATATTAATTAAATTGTTATATGAAAAAATTTTATAATATTTAAAGATTTACTTGGTTGACAGCGATATGATCTCGCGTGTGACATGCGAAATATATATTAGGTTCATCTCTAATATAGTTAAAATTCAAGTTATACATATATATAGCGAGTATTTGTTTACTGTGATCAATCTAATTGATCTACCCCGCTTTAAGGAACCCCAAATTTAGAAATTTCCCTATTTTAATTTCTAATTTATAAAGTAAACATATATAAACATTTTTTAACTATCAACACTTTCACTTTGCAATGTCAAACAAATCAGACATTGATAACATTAACGACACTCTATTTTTTCGAAATATCAATAATTCAAAAGTTTTTAATGCTCAAACTCCTGTAATACGAACTAATGTCGATACGACACAAAATACAAAGAGGGCATTAGGGTCACCAACTTCAACTATCAACTCTGGGGAATTTGCTTTGTCTTTACAAAGCAATGATAGTCATGATAAACAGACAAATTTACAAGCAATCGTTAGTAGATTAAGAAAGCTAATTGAAGTAATATCGGGTAAGTTTACATTATGATCTGTGACAATAAGATATTCAATTTTCAATTTTTATTTTATATCTACATGTATATTTAACCGTAGCTTTAGTAAAAGATATCCACGAAAAGCTTTATAAAGAATTGTTAGATGCAAGAAGTATACTCGATTCGTTAAATGAAATACAGAGAAATGTTGAAAAATTTTCAAATTTACAACAGACGGCTCAATATTTTGAATTGGCTGATGAAATTGACGAACTTGGTACGAATTGAGCTTGAAAAGCGACTTATTTAATGCATAATAAATGATCAATTTATATTTTTATAGGCGTTGGAATATGGAATACTTCTATTGTTTTGAAAACGAGTGGTGTTGCTCGTGGACCAGATAGTAATGACGAGATGATAGCTTTATGTATGTTTTGCATTGTTGAATAAGGTTTTATTTTATTGTTTCTTCTATAGAACTTAATCAAACTATATCTGAAATCGTAGTTCGACAAGTTGGATTTGTAATGATTCAAGCTGGTGCCGGTGCGAGTGTAAATACTGAAATAAAAAGTTAGTTTTACACTAGTGTTTTTAATATTGTTAATGTTTGAGATAGTAACCATAATAATGTATTTTTGTTTTATAGCTGCTGTAAAATTGCTTTCATTAGCTAATAAAGTTGGTAAAGCGTGGCTAGGTATGTAAGTTATTATAATTGATTTTGTGTTTCTGAAAATTAAATTAGTCCATCAATCTATTAAGATTGCGGAAGAAGTGATAAAGCCGATGAAATTCTGCGCTCTGCAAATGCGGTATAATAATTTTTCATATTCCTTTCAGTGTTAATTGACATAATAGGCTAATTCAGCTACATTTTTAGCTAGAAGATACTATATTGTCTTGGCAAGAGAAATCAACAAAGGAACTGCAATCAAGATCAACCGCTTTGGTTGTATATTACGCGTATCGTGCGGAGGCGGTACGATTAAGGTTCTCTTTAATAATCTGATTATATAATTTTGTATACTACGCAAAAATTTATGTATATGTTTACCATAGGCTTGGAAATTGACAAATAGCCATGTCGCCAACCTAATGATCCAACATGCTACCGGTAAAAATTGTTTATTAATATACATAATGCAATCAACTAGATTCAGAGTTAACTTTTTGGTTATTTAGAGAAAGAATACTTAGAACGTATTACAATAAAGGAGGTATGTCTTGTCTTTTAATCAATTTAAACCATATTTTTGACAAATCTAATGTTTTTTTAGATTGACATTCTGTGCCAAGTATGCTTTACGATTGGGCATCAAGCTTCGCGCGAGGGGAAAGTAAACGAGGCGATAAAATGGCTGAGAAAATGTCATGAATTGATTTCTGATAGGATATCACAAATAAACCCTGAAAGAACTAAGATACTTGTGGGTTCTTTTTATTAATTGAAAGGATGTGGTCATTTTATTGAATGTTATGTTTTTTAATAATATACTTTTTAATTTAGACAAGTACACTTAATATCTTAGGTAATATATCGTCATAATATTTAAAGTTTGTACTATTCTTTTATTAATTTATAAATATTAATAAATAGCGACATGCTATTTGAAGATTTCGGTACATGACGAATCTAATTTGGACCTTGCAGAAAATGCAGTAAATGTATGTTTAGAGGTATGGTATTATGAACATTACATTTTCATATGAATTGCTTCGTTCAAGGATGATTTATTTATTGTTGTTTATTTCAACTATTGTAGGAGGACCCTGGTA